AGACACAATTATAGTGTGTAGTGTAGGCGTGTATTACTTGTGTGTGTGTGTGGGTGGGGGGGGGTAATTGTACAGACTTTGTGCATGCACAACATCTTTTTGGAGTGGTGCAAGGTATTGGCTTTTTGTTCTATGTGGTGGTGAGAAAAATGTTAACTATTTTTTGTACGATTCAAAAAACTGATAATAAAATTCAAACTTAAGGAATTTTGCTTGTATAGTGCCTATACTAAAGGTTTGTTACATTATCTTTGGTATATTGTAAAAACCAAGCAAAAGAGAAATCTCTTAGATATGCTAACTTTTAGTCTGATGAGAACCTGTAATTTATGCATGTACTTCTAAAATGAATTCACTTACACTTCTTTATTTGTATGTTCTCTCTGTACGTTGTACTTAGATGTATTTATGTTCATTGATAGTCAAACAGATATGCATCTAGTACAAAATATATTGAAAATATATTACTGGTTTTGAGATCTGTGATCAACTGTGACTATCTCAAGAGTAAGCTCATTGAAATTTTGTGTTAGTGTTGTATGTTGATGCAAAAATGTTTGAATTATACATCTCAAGCATAAAGTAATACTTACCTCGAAAATATTTGTATAAATCTACTTTTTGTGTTGGAAAGTGTAGGAGTCAGTATTTCAGTGTAAATTTTAATCACATGTATGAGAGGTTCGCAAGTAGTTAGTTTTTTGTTGCAAAACAAGTAGTTAGTTTTTTGGTTGTTTTTTTTCCAAACATTTGAATCCATTTCAGTTTCAAAGGGATTCATATGTATTCTGGTTTGCTATTATAATTTCCACTGATTTGTTATTAACACCTGATTTTATCTTTTAAGACTATCATCAAATGATAACTATATAACATTAAAGTATATCTTTTAATTTTATGTGTAAATTATTCAAAATCTGGAGGAAGCAGTTAGAACTTTGTGATTACTATTTCTCAAGCATATTTTATTGCTTAACTTTATGAATTTGACATTAATAATAATTGTTTTCATGAAATATTAAAATATGTGATGCTAAGTTTGAAGTTATCTCCAATATATAACTTCTTCAACTTGGAAAGAAGAAATGTCAGTTTTCTCCTATTCTTCATTTGTGTAAGACAACTAAGTTTTCAAAATGTGAAATATTAAGCAGAAATGGTTTATGAATTTACCTAGACAAAATTAGAGATAATCTTTCATTTGTTCAACTCAGGATTAATTTCACTCTGAAAGAACAATTTTCTATGTTTTGATTTTGTCCTTGGGATTACTTCCTCCATCACTGATTGTACCCTTCTGATGATCATGGTTACACACTTGTCTTACACTGCAATTCACGTTGAAACTTTCCACAGACCATCTACTGTATTTAAACAGCTTTTAAAACTAAAGGCAAAAAAGTTGTTGGAGTTGCACAGAAAGACTTGGCAGGTATGTGGCTGAATAGTAATCTTTCTCAATAAAAGTGTCATTCATAGTAAAGTTTAGTTGAAAGTTCGAGAATCTTTGGTTTGTGAGCCTTCCTTAGCTTCAAATTATTGTTCTTTATGTTATTTAACAATGTCAGAAGACAAGCCCAATGTCAAATTCTTTATAGTAGATGTCTGTGACTTGTCGGTGATAAGTTTCAACACTAAACTAATCACACACAATCCACTTGTTTTAAAATAATATATATATATATATATATATATATCAAAACAAGTCAAATGTATATACAAATGTTGTTACACTGTTGGTTATCACAGTTGTATCCAGAGCTTTAAATAGTGGTCTCTTTTTTTTTTTTTTGTTGTTGTTGTCAAAGTCCACACAGTCTGGTTCAGTTACTTTAGAACACACTTTGACAAGACAAATTATTCTTCCTGCCCTGTTATTATAATACAGTCTGTGATAACTTCACTTTAAAATCACCACTATATCTGTTGCTTATCACAGTTGTATCCAGAACTTTAAACAGTGATCTCTTTTTTTTCGTCAAAAGTCCACACAGATTTGTTCAATTACTGTACACCACAATTGATAAGACAAATTATTCTTTATTACCTTGTTGTTACAATACAATATTCAATAATTTCACTATATGTTCTTTATGGCTAAATTCACAAATACACAATCTAGATCAATTTAACCTTGTCTAACTTACTCAAACTACATTTTGTATGTGTATTTATAGACTGACAGAGGCCTAGAATTTTCTACACACTATGCAATGATCTATATATACTACTAAAACTCTGAGATTGTTTGTTTGTGTGCTTGTCTGTTATTAAATACAGCAAAAACTGTGCACAATAC